GCAGGTGAAGAGATGCCTGCTGCCTTCAGCTAGACTTGCTGCGGCCCGTGGGAGAAGCAGAGATGTTCCTCCAGATGCAGAAGAGCAGCGTTGAGTATTTCCACTCCCAATCTCCTCCCCAAAGTCACTCCTGCTCCACTTTTCTGCTTCTCTTTACAGTGAGGGCAAGGTGTAGCAGGTATCCCCATGTCTGAAGGGAAAGTACCCACAACCTGGGTGAAGTTTGCAGCACTGAGATTTGCAAACACCTTTAACTCTTCAGTGCACATAACTATAAAAATCTTGGGTTTTTAGTTTCTAAGCTATTTATGGAAGAGCTAAGACTGAAAATAGTTCATAAAGGCAAGGATAATGGATGCATAAAATTAAGGAGCTCAAGTATTTGGAAATTGCTCCCCAATCTGTTCTGTGGGCTCCTGCCAGTGCTCACCTATTTGAAACCATCGGAACCTGGAGGGGCTCAGTGCTGGTGAGACAAGAGATAGCACAAATAACAAATGGCACCTCTCAGAGTGAATCTGCGTCCTCTGCTGAATCATTGCTGTATCCAGCTCATCTTTCACCATCACTCAGAAGCCTGTGGGCATGCTGTGGGGCTGTTTCACCCCATACAAACAGCCCACGCAAGGCTTCACGGGTTGATTGCTGCCTGAGCGGCAAGTACCAGCACGGTCCCTCTGGTTGGGGTGGCAAGATGAGCAGAGTGAGCCCTGCAGAGAGCACATGTGTTGTGCTTCAGTTGTGGCTCTTGGGGCTCAGACTAGAAGAGCCTGGGTTTAAGGATCAGCCAAAAACCCTGCCCCTGAGGGTGTGGAGTGGAGCACAGAGTAGCCATGCCCCCAGTGATGAGGAGAGGAGCAGGGCAGGGCTGCCACCTCCCCAGGACAGAAATGCTGGAGGTGTCAACAGGATCTGACCCCAAAGCACACATCATGTTGTGCCAATGTTCTCTTCACCTTTGAATCTCCTTTGCTAAATCTCTGGATTCAGTCACAGCCTCCTGAGGATTTCTTGGCTGCACAGATCATCCATCACTCTCCAGCCAGACTAATACAGGCCCCGGTGCTGTGCCCTGGGGTTTGTGCTACTTTCACTTTGATTTCCCCAGTGACTCATCCATCTGATACCACCGAGAGGGATTTACAGTCTGTCTCTCCATGTCACTTTTCTTCCTGCTCCGCACAGTAGTGACTTCCTAGGAAAAAATACACGTGAAAAAGCAGAGCTGTTCCCCAATTACTTCAGCTGGGGTGAATGTAGGTGCTCCAAGAACCAGGCAGTGTTCTGGAGACCCAGTGTCCTGGGCCTTTGCAAATTGGGACCAGAAAGAGGGCTCTCTTGCATCCAGAGCTGCCATCGCAGCTCTAACTGCTGAATTCACCCTCGCTCTGAATGATTTTATTTGGGATGCAGCAGTCCTGAGGGCAGTGGTTGATCTCATTAAGAGGGGGAGGCTTTTCTTAGGACCATTAGCGGAAAGGTTGGACTGGCTGCTTAGGTCTCTGCTGCCATCTGCTGAATGTGCAAGCCAACACCAGTGCTGAAGGAGAAGCAGGGATGGTGTATCTCATCCACATCAGCTACTGTGGTTCTGGTGATTATCGTCAGCTATTACAGCCCCTCAGGCGGTCACTTAGAAACTGCTAATTGCTCATACTTCGTAAGTGATGCACAAAGCATTTGCTTTGAATAAAGACTTCATCCAGAGATTAGGAAGGGAGTGGGAAATAATTACTTGAATGAATCTGATTATTAAATCAACAGCAAAGCTACCACTGACTTCAATTAGAACAGTACCTTCTAAAATTCTTGTCATTCATCAAGACTTAATATTTTCCTTTTTAAGATATAATGCATTAGTTATCTCAGTGGCATGCTCATCATTGCCAGAGAGCTTGGTGCTCTTAAGCTGAGGGAGGTCCTGAGCCCAAGGACTAATTTTTAATTTGGCTTTGACTAATGTTGTCACTGGTATCCAGGGCTGAACAGTTCTTCAAATCATGTGAACTGCTCTCTTATGCTGAATAACCTACACTGAACAACCCATGTGATTTCTGAATTAAGGTGCTAAAAATGTGTCCCAACATCCTCTCCAGAGCCCTTGTGCAAATGAGATTGTGGTTCACCTTGCATCCAAGCTCATCTCAAGGGAGGAAGAAGTATTTCAGAGCCATGGCTGGAAGGTTGGAGCTTCAAAGATAGTTTGGCAGTGTCTAATACTTCAGTGTCTTACTGCCTTCTGCAGTCTCCTTCAGCTCAAAGAAAGGAGATCTCTAAGTGTGGTGACACCAGCATGGGCATGTAAGAGGTGTGGAGCTGATGTCCCTATAGAGGCTTGTCCAGGAGTCACCTCTTGCAATGTTTTCTTACCTGGGAACAAGCAGCTGTGACCATGGGCTGTTTTCAAAGCCAGGGGTAAAACAGTGAGGTGAACCTCAGGTCTCCTTCTCCTGGAAGAACAGGCAGAGCTATTAGCAGGTACAAAGACAGACTGATGTGCTGGCTTGTGTGCTAGCATGGCCAAGACCTTCTCGCCCACTCTGCACTGCTGGTAAGAGGCAGCAACCTTCAGCACAGCTGGGACACAGCAGCATTTCAAGTACTGCTGTGGCAGGCAGCCAGCAGCTTTTGGTGTGTTTTGTGTGTGTCTGTGTGTATCACTCTCTGCTGTTTGTGGTTTATTTAAGACACTTTTCAGCCTTTGGTTGCAATTTTTAAAAGACACTTTTTAAAATATGCCTATAGAGACCCATGTACCTGACTTGCTCACAGCTCAGCAGTGCTGTGATATGAGGAGCAGCTGAGGGAACTGGGGCTGTTCAGCCTGGAGAAGAGGAGGCTGAGGGGGGACCGTATAACCCTCTACAACTACCTGAAACAAGGTGGCAGTGAAGTGGGGGTCAGTCTCTTCTACCAAGTAACAAGCAATAGGACAAGAGGAAATGGCCTCAAGCTGCGCCAGAGGAGGTTTAGATTTGGTATTAGAAAAAAATTACTTCACTGAAAGGATTATCAAGCATTGGAAAGGGCTGCTAGGGAAATGGTTGAGTCATCACCCTAGGAGGTCTTTAAGGGATGCGTAGATGTGGTGTTTAGGAACATGGTGCTGGACCTTCATCTTCCTAATTTTCTTAGCTCAAGAACTATCCCTAAGTTCATCTGCTCTGACCAAGCTTGTTCCAATTGGCAGAAAAAGCTCTTCTTGCATGCAAAAAGTGCAAAAAGCCCCCATCTTTCACTTTACACTTGCCATATCTTGCTGCGGAAGGGCAGGTATGCAAGAAATTCCTGTCCCATGACATGAGTGTTTGCTTGTTGTCAGATATCTCCTGCGAAAACCTGCGGTTATTCCATACAGCTTCTCTACTACAACAAATGCACTGCTCAACTTACAAAACCTAGGATCTGCAGGGAACAATATCAGTGCTGAGAAGTAGTCTTTCTGGCAAGAGGTCATCGTCGGCTTCAGGAGCATCCCAGAAGGAAAATACAGTAATGCTTACAGTATGAAAACCAGCTGCTTTAAAATTTCACAAACAATTTGGTCTCTCTCTATTATCATTTATCTAGTAATTTTTTTACAGAAGTTCCCTTCTCAAGGCTGGGCTGAGAATAACACCAGGCTGAGACACTTAAATCTCCTGCATAAAAGACAATTTATTTCTTACTTACAAAATAATTATACTTTGCTCACTTGGTTCACAAACAGTTGAAAAGGCCAGTAAAACAGTAACATTGTATTTTTAAAGCCTGTACAAGGAAAAACACTGTCTGTCTTTCACATTTAGCTCTGGCAAAGATAAAGGAACATCCAATCTTAGATTCTGCTTCAAAATACTAATTTAAGGCTTAAAAGCCTTTGGACAAAAAAATTATACTGATAAATTAATATGAATGTATGCTGTGCAATTGCACTTCAATTGTGCCATTTTCCTTTTTTCCAATGGAAAACAGACCTGGTTTTTTAAATATTACACTCCCAATGCACTCCTTCCATCAACAGAGTAATATCAGTTCCCTGCATATACACATTTTCACATGCTTAAGAGGATACAAAGAGCGCATGGTATTGCTTTACCTCTCCTTTCAGATACCTCTCTCGCATGACTCCTCTAAACATGGTTAAACTCTTAAGAGATGTGAGACACTTCAGATAAGCTCAAAAAGAAATCGTACACCTTGTGCACACACTCAGTCATACCATAGTCTACACCCACACTCTTTTCCCCAATCTGTCTGAAGAACTCTCATTTCTCATATTCCTAGCATCTTAAGCTGACTGTACCTGTAAAAAAAAAAGAAAAGGCTGCTAAAATTTTGACAACTGAGGTTTCGTCTTCCTCTCCCTCCCTCCCGATGTCAGACATCTTCCCCATCACAACAATTACTGGTTTTTTATTCTTGGGAGTTTGGAAAAGAAAATAAATAATCTTACTAGATCACTTTTTTTAGTCTTTCTTACAGTCTGTGACTTTCTGATTATCAACACATCCACATATAATGGGTTAAAGCAACATTATCCTGCCATGATGCAGTTTTCACAGTGGGGTGTTTTCAGTGTCTTCCAGCTGCCAGTGCTCAGCTTTCAATTGCTTTTTTGGCACTTAACAAACAGCTCACACAGTCAGTCGGTTAGGGCTGTATTTATGTGTCTGTCTCTTAGCTTCTCTGTGGCACTTTGCAGGACTGGAGCAATGGCTGTTTTGTTCTTGCAGTCAAGCTCATGTGCTGGCTGGGCTCAGCAGCTCTCACCAGTAGGTCAGGCCTCCTGAAAGGGAAAGGGGACTTCCTTTCCTTGTGGATCTTTCACTGCTTGCAGACTGGGTCACCAAACCAGAGCTTGCACAATGGAGAAGAAACCACGCTTGTGGCTCACACAGCCCCATCTCTCCAATTTCCTGGTAGTCTGGCTGCAAAGGGCTCCAAGCACTGGGGCTCCCCACATTTCCTCAGGCAGACAGCCCTGGGGCCCAATGCCTCCATCCCGGACCCCCATCCCTTCAGAGGCTGGTGTCAACGGTGTCCACTTTGGCCTGCAAGGTGGCCTCAGAGATAGTGTCTGGCTGCCCATCCCGACAGAAGAGGACGGCAGGGTTCTTGCAGGCCCACATGGCCACCTCTCCTCCACTTGCTGGGCTGGACAAGGATGGGGCACTGCCTGGGGGGCCGCTGTGCTGGTTGATGTAGCGCTCCCGGACACGGTCAGCTCGGCTCCAGGGCTCTGGCTGGCAGCCTGGGGCTGAGATGTAGGCTGCCACGTTGTTCCTAGTCCTGTAGCCACCCTCACGGCTTCGCCGCAGCAGCACAGAGATGTTGGGGTTGCGGGCGGCATAGATGAGGGGGTTGATGGCACCATTGGCCCAGGCCATCCCACTGGCTACGGCGTCCATGGTGGGCGAGAAGGGCACGTGGCCAGCGGCGGCGGCCAGCCCCAGGATGCAGTAAGGACCCCAGCAGCAGATGATGGAGACGATCATGATGAGGACAGTGGTGGCCGTGCGCATCTCCCCGTAGGCCCGCAGCAGGTGCCCATAGGTGGTGAGGGGCCGCACACGGCTCTCGGCCAGCCGCACGGCCCGGCAGATGTTGTAGTGGCAGAAGCACATGAGGGCGAAGGGCAGGAGGT